TGGCGTTGCGCTGGAACATCTTGTATGTGTCTGTAAACGAAAAATGTTGAATGTATATGTGTCTATATTACTCATATTGAATAAGTATGTTAATTAATTATTTATTTTTCATATTTCAGGAAATGTAGAATTATTTCGAACTCTTTCGTTTATGCAAAGCTTTTATAATTTATGCACCAATTATTCTACATTTACTTTGGCTTAATTTACTTTTAGGGTTCTCAAAAGTCGCTTTAATTTGATTTTTATACTGACTTTCATATGCTTTAAAATCGCATTAGCTTTTGTTCTCGTTCCTCCATAATTTTCGTAATCAACGTTTTCTATGTGAAGGTTGCATTGTTATGGGCCTCTTACGTCTCCACGTTTTTCGCTTCTAACGTTGATTCTGAAATTGACAACACACACTGTGAAAAAAAAGTTTGTTGTTGATGTAGATTGCACGCACACATACACAGACACGCACACCCACATGCCGGCTGTGCACCTATGCATATGCAGGTGCGTGCGCCCTTCAGCCTCATCCCCCCGGCCCCCCTCAGACCATGTACATGCATCTGCATTGTGAATGCATTTTCAATGGCATTTTTATTGCAATTGGCTTGTAATTGCTATATTTAGTTTAATGGCAGCCAAGAACACGGCATTACGTCTGCCTCCATAACTGTTTAACTGGTAGACACCCACACACACTTACACACACACGCACATGCAGACATCTCTCTCTCTCTCTCTATAACTTTCATTTTCAATGTCATTAAAGTGGAAAGTCTCGTATGGTAAAGTGGGCTACATTCCACACTCCACATTCCACAATTCGTCTCTGGACAGGTGCCATTTACCTTTGCTCTGTCCACTGTTCTAATCTCCGCTCATAAATCAGCCCACTCATCGACACATTTTTGCTCAGCGAATCATAAATTTTGGCAACAAATTTTCGCAGCATCGAAATGTCGCGTCGCTTGCCCCATGTCAAAGTTCCCGCAGCGGCGTGTTGCAGTGCCAACAGCTCCCGGGCAACAAAAGCAACAACTAACTGCCTCAGTCCCAATCCCAGTCCCAGTCCCAGTCCCGGTCCCAGCAACAGCATCACAAACAGCAACAGCATGGACTCCCGATCTCTCTACACATGTCTGAGCTGTGCCCCGAGCTGAGGCCGAGTCGAAGCGCCAGTCGACGCCAGTCGTCGCGGCTTTTATCCTTGCTTACGCTAAGATGGCGTATTGTATAACATCATTATGTGGACTTCGCTCATGTTCATGTCATAATTTTGCCCAGTCACAGTCAGCTTAAGCAGTGCACGCCCCGCCCGCAGCCGCCTATCGTCTGTGTTGCCTGTGTTCCAGTATTCCCAAGCCCCAGTTGCCGCATCTCCCATCTCTCATCTCCAGCCGAGCTCTGCTCGAGGATTGCGCATCGGGTATTTGGGATCTGGCCTTTAAGCATATGCCAACAGAATATCAGCATCGGCATCGGCATCGGCATCGGGATCAGCATCAGCTTCGGCATCGGCATCAGCATCAGAATGTTGTGGCCGCTGTTTGTGCCATGTTTTGGGCTGCGTAATTAAAAATAAATTTTCGCGCGCTGAGCTGCCAGGAGTGGAGCGCGGATGACTTCAATATTGGGCTCGTAAGCCAAGTGTGTTTGCAAACAACAGCAATTCTATTCACAGTGGACAGTTGGGTTGCTGTCTTTCGATTCAGACAAGAACTGAGATGATCTAGTTTACTTAGCTTGAATACACAATTTATCGAAATTGTCTCTAAACAAATTTTTAATGTTGGAAATTAGAATTAACAAACTGTTAAATATAAATATATAGTCATAAAAACACAGCCGATAATTATAATTTACATCCTCAGTTAAACTA